AAAGTAGTCTGAGCCCCGTATTCGAAAATTAGTTCGGTTAGTAGGTGCATGAGTGAGCAACAAGGTTGTATAGTAGTTTACAAACTTAAGAATTAATAAAGATACAAGAGGCATGACCTCACCTTAACACCAAAAAAAAAAGAAAAAAAAACCAATTTATTATTAAATATAATAATTAATCTTTATAATTAATATACTTATTTTAAAAATATAATTATAGAAAAATTTAACTATATATATTTGATTATTGCAAAGCAATAGGTTTACAGCTAGTATCTATTTAAAAATTATTAATTTTGTTTTTATAAATTTGTGTTTAATAAAATGCTATATTTTATTTTAATTTGAAAATAGCTTTCTATATAATTATATATAATTCAAGAAATCATATCATGAGTAATTCATTTATAAATTTATAAATAAAAAATACTGTAACTAATTTTATTAAGGTTCACTTTACTAAAAATATCAATATTTCTCAAACAGTTAAAAATTTATAATTCAAAATTTTATTTTGGATATAAAAACTTTCACCGGTTTCTGAGTTCAGAAGTCCCGATTTCCAAGTAATAATATCATCATTCAAAAGGTCGTAACCTATCCATTACCGTTACTTGAACCACTATTTGTATATCCAGAGCCAGATGTCTCATTACTTGAATTTTTTGCCTTCTCGTCCAATTCAACTTTTTGCCACCCTTATAATTTTTTTAAAAATTTTTTTTGTTGGTAAAATTCGGCAAAACTTGTCTCAAAAATTATATTTAAAAAAACCTACATTCTAATTTTTCTGGTGGCCTGGTCCTAGAAATTTCTTGAGCCCGTCTTCTGGCGTTAATATCCTTTTTGGCGTAATAAAACGCACCCCCGCCAGCTTAATATAAATAAATCAATTTCATGTTAAATAAATTATTTGAATTAAAATTATAGCACATGTTATAACTCACCAGCGATTAATACAACCCTTCGTTTAAATTATAAAATTTATAATCGGATTCGTAGTTAATCGAAAAATTAATAATTGTAAATAAAATAAATCATTCGAAACTATATACATACCATCCAAGAAGTACAGATCCTGGTGTATTCATTTTTTTTTTATTTATAAATTCTAGAAATAATATATATATATTCATTGGTCTCATGATCAGAGCAGATCTTTACCAGTCCATGTTCTAACGGAGATATTTTTCTAAAATAAGATGAACACAATAAATACGTAGCCTTTCATTTAACAAATACACATCAAGTTTCTTAATGCATGCACATGGTTTCGAATTTTATTTTGCAACATTATCGGGCAATCTACCATTTTTGTACGTAGTTCATTTTTCATACAAAATCTATCTATGGAAATGCAAAACTTTTCGGATGGGTGTAAACTCGCAAACTCGCACATCAAAATATAAAATGTCAAATGCCGGAACGCGATAGGACTTTGATTCGAAACCTTGAATAACTGTATTGACCGGCATTTATATTTATTGAATCTTGCGCTTTACTAAAATAGAACACAATCGCTATGGTACATACCTTACTGGTATTTGCGTATTGACTAGTCGAATTGAAGGTGCGTAAAAATTCGATCACATTTTGCAAAACTATACGTTATCGAACCTTCGACATAACGTGACATAGTGAACTTTTCTAACCATAACGTCATCATTATACATTTGCGTTGCATTTTTATCTATACAAAAATCATTAATGGTAAAAATATTACGTATACGTAATAAATAAATAAACATTTATGCATGCTTTATTCCGGAATATACAAGTGTATATCGTTTTATCCAATAATAAGATTGTCATATGCTTTGCTAAAATTAATAAATACGCTTAGCAATTACGGTTACAAGTTATGTGTAATGTTTATACGTAACAAATTGTTAATATTAGCAATCATAGCTATCGTAGCTATCGGAACATTAAATCGAATCCGATCCATATAAACCCAAGTTCATGAACTTGGTCTCTTTTTTCTTCTCTATGCACTACCTCATAAATGGACTCTTTTTTCTTCTCTATGCACTACCTCATAAATGACGTGATTCTAAGTGAAAGTTTTAAGATTTTTCGAGCAAACTTGCCTTACCAACTTGAAAGCTGATTCTTGCTGCCATAAGATTCTCTACCCACTTCGAATCATCGTATCCTGTCAACATTCGTTGATCTGCTGAATCATAATCAATTTCTTCTTCATCCATTATAAGCCTGATAATAACTTCGGGAAGTAAAACGTCACCTATAAACCGAAGTTTTAAGTCTTTTGAATAGTTGTAAAAAATGGAATTCTCTGGTATGTTTTTTGATGATGGCAATTCGTTCAAGTTGTTTTCGAATCCTCTATCAACCCTCTTTCTCTTTTTCGGAGAAACTATCTTTTCTTGTCGATCAATAGATTCAGCGATCTCAGGTATAAACATACTTCTCAAAACTTTAGCAATCATGCCAAATTCGCTTAAGCTAAAAGGTCCGGGAGATACTTTTTTTGCAAGTTGATTTCGTTTTTTACCACCTTCAATAAAATCTCGGTATCTCCATGCGGATTCTTCGTTACCCGTCAAAACTCGATAAAGCATGTCTTCAAGATTATGGACTTGATCAATAAGTTCTTGATCATAGTAATTTGGATCCTCTTTTTCTAACTCGATATCTCCCAACTTTAGATGTGAAAATGGTAAATTTAAATTTGTCAATTCAAACACCTTAAAGGTCAGTATTAAACAAATAAAACCCGTTTATTCTATTTAATTCAATTACTTGACACGTTTGAAATTCATCTTCATATCTCGTAAAGAACTTCTTTCGAGTAACTGTTGTCGTCGTTCCATCACAAAATTTTATTTTATATTTGTCTGGCTATAAAATTAAAATATCGCTATTATTAAATTATTCTTTACATATTATAATAAAATAACATCAAGTAGATTAATATTACTTCGGTATAACTTGTAATTTTCGCTGGATAATATTTTTTGCGTGCATATGCGAGAACTGGCTCGCCAGGGATCATAAGGCTAATATGCACATACATAATTGTAATTTTGACTTGAATATTTTTAGTAGAACATATTATAAAGAATCTATTAAAGTTCGAACCTCTCATCTTCTTGGAAACTTGTATCAGTATTGCCTGGGTCCCGAGTTATGGATCTAAAAGTCAATATGATCAGGTTCTATAATAGTAAGTCCTGCATAGTTTAAGATTTCTGATTTTACTCACTGCTTATTTGCTGATGTCTTATGAGTAATGAGACAATTTGTAGAACCAAAACTTTTCCTATTTCCTTTTGTGGGTCCTATGAAAACGCCACCGAATTTATAAAAAGGTTCGTTTTTTCTACTAACATATTGAACCATTATCGATTGACTATGTATTATTGCATACTTTTCTGAGAAGTAACCTTTCTCCGTTTCGGTGAATCAACAGAATCAACAACCTTATGAAAAGCCCAATCTTCACTGGGTAAGCCATCATTTTCTTCAGCCTCTTTTTCCTCAGCTTCCGAGACCGCGTTCTTAAATATTTCTTTCATATTTGAATTTTTTCCATTCTCCAGAAACTCGGAAGACTTGTTACAGCGAAATGGAAGAATACTTGTTTCTGACATATTGTTAAGTTCTATTGTTCTGTAAAATTAAATAGGAGAACACTAAAATTATTTATACATAAGTTTGACCTTAGTAAACAGTGTGCATTTGATCTCACTTTGTCGAGATATCTCCAAAAAGCTCGACACGTAAAGGCGTTTCTGGGCCATTTTGGCTTATTATCTTTAAGAATATGTTAATATGAACTTGAATTAGTGAACGAAACTCTGTAAGACAAGTAGTTTTAATATACCTTAGCGGGCCACCACCCAAATGTTTCCGTGCTAACCCAGACAACGTCTGTAGGTAACATATTTGAACGTATCGGTATAGATTCTAATGGGACGTTATGATAATTTTAAGGATCGGTGCATATTATATAGTGAATGATCAAATGGTCATTTGACCAAACCGAAAACCGAACATGTGATCTTTTTACCTGTTATATACGTACGTACGTACGTATACATCGAAATTAATTTATTTTACTACGTACGTACGCATAATACTTCATTGCCATATTTAGAATGTTTGTGCGTACGTATGTATATGTTGTAAGTGGAAACGGAATTTAAGTGGATTCGGAATTTATATATAAAACCCCGTTTTTGGGGTTGATTTTATCATATGTACACCCTAACCCTAACCCTAATTTAACTAGGAAATTCCAAATCCACTTAAATTCCATTCCCACTTACCGAGATTCATTAAGATCATGGTAAAAACTTGGGTAAGAATAGGTTTGCATTAGAGATGTGTTAAGCCGTAAACTAAACTACCTGATCATAATTTTGTTTAAGTCTTGTATCTTAAATTTTCAATTGATATATTATATATACATTATATTTTGTATATTATAGTACGGCAGTAATTGATCATAAATTATACCGTCTATGTTTTTTTAATTCGCTGGTAGTGTAAGTATAGATGACGTATGCCGTATAAAATATAGTACCCTAGCCATGGCGAAAAATGTTCGGGTCGAAAAATTCTTTAAAGTTTATTTATGATCGATTAAGGTTTATATTAGGGTTAAATTTTAGCGAAATATATGTAAAATCTCTCAAGGAAATTTTTTTGTTAGAGCAGAAGGCAGTTTCTTATGAAAATTTCGAGAAATAAGCAATTTTTGAAAAAGCGAACGTTTGTTTTGAATGTGTTACGTTACACAAAATCGGGACTCATTATTGGATAATTTAATAAAATAACAAGCATGAATGACGTAATAAAATGAACTGGAAAATATAGCAAAAACTCGATTTTCATTTTTTGGCAGTATCCGCCCTTTCTACTGCAAAGACCCCATATTAGACATTACATTATGGCCGGAGATTCCCAGGGTTTGGGAGCTGGTTTGGGCTTTAATCTTGAGTTCGATTTAATCGAATCCGATCTTCGTATCCAAAACTTAAAAATTTAAAGTTGATCCATATGTTAGGCGCGAAATTGGACATTTTGCTGAAAAGTAAATGCAGTTAATAGTTACGTTCAAATCTTGTTGAATAAAACCCCATTAATATGCGTAATTAATTAATATATTTGTATGGAAAAAGACGCAAACTTGTAAACGTTTCTCAAAGAGTCCGTCGAATACGCCAGATTGAATGGTCAACGCGAATTATTATTTAATACGATGAAGCAAAAATTTTCATTCCTAGCCGTTAATGCATGTGCTAATTATTTGCTGAAATTTTCGTCCTAACGATAGGTTTGAATTAGAAACATTGGAACTCAAAGTTCTTAATTTATGTGCGTAATATTTTTTAGTTTATTTTAGCGCACAGAAGTAATCGTTAGCGTTCATGGTCAGACATTCGTTTGATTGGCTAATGTAAATCAATTGCCCGGGTAACTTATTTATACACTTTAAAGTAC